GGCGGACAGTATTCGGGCCGCCGACCTCAACCACATGATCGACGCCGTGGCGCGTCAGCTTCCGCGCCGTCTCGCCCCAGTTCGCATCCTCGCGGTAGTTGATCACATGGTCCGCGCCCAATTCCTTGAGTCGTTGTGCCTTCGCGCTCGAAGAGGTCGTGGCGATCACCGTCGCACCAGCCGCTTTAGCGAACTACTCAGCAGAGCAGATCAGCCTTACCCCAACATACGCCACCCCATCCATCATCTTCAAGAGAAAAGCAAACGCAAAAGGGAGAGGTAAACACACCTGCAATGCAAAGACAGAAACCCCACCAGTCCCCTGCACGAGCACCGTCTGCCCCGGCCGGAGCGGCTTAACCCCGTACAGGGCATTCCACGCCGTCAACGCCGCACAGGGCAAGGTCGCACTCTCCACCGGACTCAGATTCCTCGGCGCATGCACGAGGCTCATCTCATGGAAGACGCAGTACTGCTGCAAACACCCATCCAAGAACCCGCCCAGCCCAGTTCTTTGGGCTTCCGCAGTGAGATCGCCGAAGAGATGGGCGGCGAAGAAGAGCGAGGTGATGCGGTCGCCTGCTCGGAAGGCGGTGACTTTGCTGCCGGTCTGGACGACGGTTCCCGCCCCGTCGGAGCAGGGGATTAGGTCGGCTTTGCTGGGGAAGGGGTATTGGTTCTTTTCCGGGGCATTAGTTGGGCTTTTTTTGTGGAGTGGGGAGGGGGGAGGAAAAGACAGACCATGGGGATACTAGCGTCCCGGTAGTTGAGCGAGACCGCCTCGATCTTGACCAGGACCTCGTACTCGCCCACTTGCGGGATCGGGGAGGTGGTGCGCTCCAGGCTGTCAAAGGTGTTGCCGAAGTGGCGGATGATCCATTGGTTGTTGGTTTGGGGGGCCATTTTGTGGTTGTTTTACTGAGATGATGTGGTAGTTGTGAGGAGTGAAGGGGTGATGCTGTAGGTGTGAGGATTCAAGAGATGGTCGAGGTCTTCAAGGGTAAAATATACTCTCCGGATCTGGGATGCCGAGATCTGCTCGCCCAGATTATGAAATCATGGAGATTCATGCAGGGCGGAGGGGCTGACAAACTTGGGCCAATTGTATGAGGGCTTGGCGGGGAAGTGGAGACAGGATTCTGCGCTGGGATACCGAAGTCTGGATTCTGGGTTACTACGTAATTAAATCAGATCTCGATTTTTCGTCTAAGGGGGAGGCAGGTCATTGCTTGAGTTCAGCTGTGTTAGTGATGCGGATCCACTGCGATGTTTGTGTTTGTTTCGCGGTGATGAAGAATAATTCTTGTTTTGCCTGGTTTTGCCTACTATATATTTACGGAAATCCTATCGAAGACGAGGTTATCTTGTGCTGAGGCTGGTCCCTCAGAAACTTGGCATGACCCTTGAATCGTCGAGAAAGTGCTATCAGTAATACAGATATAGGGTTCTCTTCAGTAATCACAAGGGAATACTTCAATTCGATATCTCAAAAATAGTTGTCGAGAGACGGACATGGATTGCCCGGGAGGAAGCATGCAACGGGAAAGACAGAGTCACGTGGCATGCTTCAGAGTCACAAACACGTGATGCATCATGCCCTGAGCTCTGCAGAGTAGCAGAGGTTTTGAGGTCATGTGTGGAGAGCTTGGGTATGTGAATGTGTGAGTGCACTTAAAGTCTCATGTATTAGATTCTGTGTTCTGAAAAACACAAACACAACATGAGAGCACAGAAGAATGGAGCTGTATAGCAGCTACGCAATAAATCCTCGATCCAACAGCGTAGGTAGGACGTTTTGAGAAGTATCAGGGATCCGCCAACCACTATTTGTAGGTAGGTCTTCGAGGTGCTAAGCGCATAGGCCGACAGTGTAAGAAAGAGAATTGCTGTCTCCTAGAGGGTGCATGATCTACACTCATTCACATAGCTGTAAAACCATCAAGTACAAATACGCATGAGGAAACAAACAGAGACACGAGCAGTTGATTGCTAAATACTTGTTTATCTGTTGCATATACAACGGGGCAATATTCAAAACATGGGAAATGAATGCTCTCAACAACTGCCTTCATACCGCTCAATCCGACGAATAATTTCCTCTACATCCCCCCAAATCCTTCGCCGATTCCGCAACCCCTTCAACTGCACCCACTGACTCTTGACCCGAAAGAAAACTCGATGCCAATCGGTGTTCGCCCTTTCCAGCCTCACTTGCTCCGGCACCACAACAGGCCACGGGACCAGGTAATCCACCAGATCATCCTGATCCGTCGGCTTGACACCCAGGACCTTCGCGTAGTGATTTCGCGTGTCATTCACAAACTTGACCTCGTTTGCGTTCACCGTCGTCCACCACGAGGGCGTGTGCTCAATCTCCGAATTGTCCCACGCTTCCCAGAGCCAGGGCATCTCGTCGCGGACGAGGCGGTACCAGACACCATTGGGGAGGTGTGTGAATGCCCGCGATGCCGCGCGAAGGCGCGTGATATCTGCTGCGTCGAGGAAGTTGATTATGTGGAGACGGAGGTCCAGCGGGAGGGAGCTCAGGTGGTCGACCACGCGGGGATCCGGGTGAGTTCGCGCCGAATTCTCGAAGGAAGCAGTATTCACCTCCACCTCCACCTCCTCACTCGTCGCCTCTGCGAGCAACGCCGGTAAGCCAGGTACGTAAAGCGGGTTCGCAGCCAGATACTCTCTGCCGGGTTTATGGTCCCACCATTGCTCCTGCGACTCGAGGACATCACCCGCCCGCGGAAACTCATGGAACTCTTCATAGCTGCATTCGGCATCGCGCCATTTGATGAGTCCGTTGACGTTTACCTTGTTGAAGTGCCGTTTCGATTGGCGGGAGAAAATGTCGAAGCACCACGAGTGGAACGGCATGGCAAGCTCGTGGGGTTCCATGGACTGTTGAGGGTGGGTTAGCGATTATCCTCCAAGGGGTTTACTCTTGGGTAAACTGTACCACGAATTACTTACCCCGAAATTGACATTGTCCGCCGCCACAGTCTCCACTCCACCCCGCGCGGGCAAGACATCCGGATACCCGCAATCGCGCGATCGCATCCCGTCACACACGCCGGAGAGGAACCACTCCGCATCCGTCTCCCAGTCCTCGTGCAGCCCATTGGGCTTCCACGTTCCCTCCGTCTGCGACTTATGCACGAGGAACTGGGCCGTCCGGCAGCCGCGCATTTCGGCAACAGAGATCGCCGAGCCGGGGTAGGCGTTGGGTTGGCCGCACGTCGGGGCGGGGATGTGTTCCAGGTCCTCGGGGCTGCAGTCTTCCGGGAGCTCTGAGGACGTGATTGGAATCAGGATGTCTTTTTTCGTTCCGGTTGTTGTGGAATAGGCCAAGTCTCCGATGGGTTCTCCGGTGTAGTGTCTTGGGTTGAGTGTGCGGAGTGTGTTGAAGAGGAAGTCGCGGTACAATTCTTCCTCTTCATCCTCCGTCGTGGCCGTCTCGCCTTGTTGAGTAGCGTCATCGTGTTGGTCTTCGGAGAGACACATGGCATTATCTGACTCATAATCGGAATCATATTCGTACGGCTCTGCGGCCTCATCGTCGCACTCCTCAGGCTGATAGTCGGGATCAACCTCTAGATCCTCATCCTTTTCTCCGGGATATGGGTATTTGAGAGCGAAAACGCAACCCTTCTTAGCACACTCGGCTAGATCTAAATCCTCGATCTCCATGGAGAGGCTATCGTCGCTGTCAAAGGAAGCAACGTGGGGCTCTCCGACATCGCGAGCACGACCGATGTTGAAGCTAACACCGCAGAGATGGCAGTAGGCCTGGCAATTATTGTTAAATTGGCTTTGGTTGTTGATCAAGGAGAATGTGCTGCGTACCTCAGAGTATCCTGTAGCAGGCGGTTGGTTGATGAATCAATTCCCTGTCTGCAGGTTGCTCTTGAGGGAACATACCCATTTTGGTTGCTTGTCATCTAGTCAGCTCGGTTGATGATATGTCCCATGGATTCGATGTGCAGCACTGAATAATGTGTTGTGTGTTGTGGATGAAGTGGTATTTGAGTTGGATGCCAGAAACCGGGTCTCGGCCAGGCTCCCGTGTGGCTGGAATTAGGCTGCACTCCGCCCCCACAAATACGAGGGGCGGTGTGGCTGTGCAGCTAATCAGTCAGTGGCGGTGGTAGATCGACACGTGACTAAGGCAGCGGTTGGACTGGCAGAATGCAAAAGCTTTTGCCTCAACCTCACGTCCTATGTCTCCGCAAGCATCCCATGCTAGAAGCAATATGTGTCTGTTATGATCTAGAACCTGAGGTTCGGAAGTTGATTTCCCGTAGTTGGATCCGCAGGTTGAGAGTCCGGTGGCCAATCCACTCAATGCCGTACCAATATATTGTAGGTGTATACTATCTAATCCCTTCAAGTTGTCCTGAGAGGAGAATGCGCTAACATTCTACTGCTGTATGAGTGCATTTAAAGACTTGAATTCCTCATTTATGAGCTATCCTGTGCATATTTCAGCTTGGAAGTAAATGGCCTATTACACATCAAGCACCTTGGTCCCAGTACTCTTCCCCTCAACTAGCCACTAGGACCTCTTGACTATATGAACATGCTCCCAAGAGCAGCCAGTCATAGGTAGACAAATTCTCTGCTGCAAACCAGAGACAAAAGCCAAGCCGGTTTCCAAGCTCTAGTGAAGCGCTTCCATTGCCTCACGCACGTAACCTTGCTCAGCCCTCGACCGCACGGACAAACTGAATCTCAAAGTCCATCGGGAATTCGCGCAAGGCCGATTCGCGAAACTTCTCCTCCGGAAAGTTGTACTTCACAATCTGTTCAAGCAGCTCCCTAGCACTCTCGTAGGCAGTTCCCCCATGCGCAGCACAGCCCTCGGTGATACGCCATCCGCCCGGTCTGGTACAGGACGCGCGGGGGAAGTCGTCCAGAATCTCCAGCCCCCAGTTCCTGGTGGCGGCCCCCCGCAGCGCAGCGGGGGCGTCGACGACAACATACAGGTTTCGGCACTACAACTGGACACCCATGCTGAAGACTTTCCGGAGCGGAGCAAGTCGAGAATCCATGAGCATCTGCTGGGGCAGCGCCACGCGTCGGATGAGATTGTAGTGCTCGGGGTATCGACCAGGCCCTTCGATCGATAGGACGTAGAATATGTTCCATATCTCCCCAAGGAAGTCCTTCCATTTATCGTCCGGGCAGAACACGATGTCGCGGCGGGGATTGAAGCGGCGCATCGCGAGCCTGTTGTGGTTTTCGGTGTAGGTGTCGTTGTCCACGTCCACTTCGAGACTCGGAGACTGGCGTTGGACCCACACTTGGGCTACCTTGTGGGCTTCTTTGCTCACTTCGAGGAGCGGGATCTTGACCGAGAAGATGCCCATCTCGAGTGGGTGGATGAGGTCAGGGACCCAGTTGTCGTAGTCGTCATACTTGTCGTCCAGCCTGTGTTAATCACTTTGTCTGTTCTCCAGAAGAATAGAGGGTTGTTGATCGGGCCGGGGAGAGCAGCGTTCCAGATCATGAGCCGGATCTCCGGAGGAAGACGCGGGAAGGAAGGAAATTCTGAGGTCGCCATTGTTGTTGAACACGGTTTGACAGCGGTTGGGGAATGGCTTTTGTAGCAAAGATGGAGGGTAGATGCGAGAGAGAATTGAAGGACGGCACCGATTAGAAAGCGATGGTAGACGATGGATGTTACGAGGAAAGAGATTGGTTGATATGGGACAAGGTTACTTGATCGAAAGAGAATGGCTGTGTTAAAAGAGGATGAGGGGGTGGAAAGAAGGTGGTCGAGTTTGAGGAGGATAGGCGCGGTTGCCTGCAGGCAGCGAAGGCTTGGAATTGGCAAAATATTTCCTCCCTAAAGTGTTTGAGAATCACGTGTCCCGATGCTTTGAGTGGAAAACTGAGAGACTTGGCTTCTCTGGACTGGAGATTTGCCCTCATATGAATCCTTCCCTGGCTGAAATCCAACCATTCCGCTCGCGCGGTCAAGCACAAACTTGTTACCCTGATCTGAACTGTTCTCTAGAAAGGAATAATAATTCAATCTCTAAGAGCCTGCTGCAGGCAGCCATTCGTTTCGTACGGCATAGATATACTGTTCTTCCGCTGCGAGCCCTAAAAGTCGATCCATTCAAGATAGAGAGGACCCTTGTAGTAGATATGCGTTGAACCTTGTAGGAGCGCGCTAAAGTGGAAGCTTTGGTTGCCACGTCAGAGCAGGACGTTGGAACTACTCGTAGTTGTTAGAAGGGTTGTAGACTAGGCCTGTCTCTCTCCTAGTGAATGCTCTTATTGCCTTGATGAAGAGTCAGGTGTCGCCTGGTCCAGGCATTTGCTCGGTCCGTACCGCAATGCCTTAGCTGTTGGGCCTAATATCGAGCAAAGCGACATATCGAGGGGGCGTCTGAAGGTGCTCTGAACCTTCTAGAAGTACTCACAACTGCTCTAAACAATTATGTTGTATGTTCAAAATTCTTTACGAAGTCCTGTTTCCTTAGTTGCTAACGGACGGTAGACACGAACCGAGTTGTGATGCATCCAGATTCACCGGCTATAGCTAGATAGACAGTTGACAAAATATAACAACAGCAGAGCACTCTCCTCAAAGCCCCACGCGTAGAAACAATTCCATCCAGAGTCCAATTCGTCTTGTAGCCTCACTTCCTCACCGCACTGACAAAGCGAATATGGAAATCTTTCATGAGGCCCCAGGTGATCCATGCCTCCAGGTCACTCAGCGGAAAAGGGTTCTTTGTAATCTCTACGAGCAGTTCCTTTGCGCGCTCGTAGGCCGTTCCCCCGCGCGACGAACCCTCGCCAACCCTCCACCCGCCGCCATCAATCCAGAAAGCCCAAGGCAGAGCTTCCAAAACCTGCAGCTCCCACTTCTGCTCCACCTGCCAATCCACTTGGTCCGGTGGGCCCGGGACCATCTGCCGGAGCTCTGCGGGCGCGTCGACGACAATGAAAAAGTCCCAGCACCACGCCTGGAGGCCGCGGAGAAATATTTGCAAAACACAGTCTGGGTGTTCTCGAGCATCTGCTGGGGAACTGCAATGTGTCGGAGCGGATGGTCTAGCGGGATGTATTTGTGTGGAAACCATTCAGGGTACTCAGGGTCTCGACGCATCACATAGTATAGCGCATCGACCTCCTCCATGAATCCGTGAATTGGTCATCGGGACAGAAGACGGTGTCGTCACTAGCGTGGAATCGGCGGACGAGGGCGGTTGAGTACGCTCGGGGTGGGACCGGAGGAGGAGACTGGCGCCGAATCCAGTCTTCGGCCACCCTTTTTGCCTCCTGGTTCACCTGGAGAAGCGGGATTGCGATGCGGAAATGGCCCATGTCGTCTGGGTGCATCAGATCATCATCCGCACCGATCAATCATTCCGGGTCAGATTCCCGCCGCCACGTAGTCCGCCTCCAGAAGAAAAGTGGTTTACCGATTGGGTCGGGTAGCGCGGCCTCCCAGATCATGAGACGAATCTCGGCGGGAAGACGCGGGAAAGTTGGAAATTCGGATGTTGCCATGGTTTATCGAATCAGCTTTGACAGTAATTAGAAGTAAAGAAATATCGGTAGCAAGCGAGATGGAGGGCAGAAAGGAGACAACTTGAAGGAACTGGGACCGATGAAGACGACGGCAGAATATGATGGCAGGATATGATGGTACCTGTTACCGGTAACGATGGTTGACATCAAAGAAGATGGTTAAGGTGGATAGAAAAGGTTGAGTTGGAAGAGGAAGAAATGAGCTGAGAGATGGCGGATGTGATGGATGAGGATGCTCATAATGCTCATAGGCAGTAAGGGTGGGAAGATAGCAATCATGATTGTAGCCTAGGTCATATCACTTCCAGCGAATTTGTCTCTCATTTGTTGCTGAAATTGATAGACAATGAAGGGCCGGCCTTAATGAATAAGTGACCGAAAGCTATCAACTTGAGCTCGAGTTTGAGATCGACCTCTTACTTGTTTAAAATTGGGCTGGAGGGGCTGTGAGCCTTTCGAGTATACCGTATGTTAAAGTCTCTGCAACCCCTTCCTAATATGCTGTTACCTGCCTAAAACTGGCATGTTGAGCTCTATAAGTACGGGCAGGGCAACACATTGCTTCACGCTACCCAGATGAACAGGCGAACGATTTTCTGCGCAAATGAACCAGTTATCATCCTGCATAAAGTGGCCTTCTTTTTGCCTTGACAACCCACTTCAGCATACAGTGCTGTGAGAACAACAATAAGAACAAGCATAAGGTAAGGCTCATTAGTTCCTACATGACATAGGTCGTTTGTTGATGTCTTGTGTTGGGCCTGCTTACAAGACATTAGATCCCCAGAGACACTCGGTATCAATGAAGAGAATGCTCAGAGTATTACAAAGTCCTAATCTCAACTCTAAGGCTTCAAAAACCTAAACAAATAAGAATCATCGTTCCTCGCCTATCCTCATCTATCCTATATCAGCCCACCACACTGCTGTCAACAGCAACACTAAGGAAGCGCTGTGAAGAACATCAGAATGATTGGTCAACTGCCATGATCATGTCCTGTGTATTATTGCTTTTACTGATCTTTGCCGTTGAGAGAACCACGGTATAGGGGTACTTGAGGATTTTTTATAAACATTAGATTGATGCCTGGTTTTGCAGGCGACGGTTCTTTTGGGTCACTAAGCGGTTGAATCGCCTCCGCAGGTAAGTTGCGGCCTCAGGCCACAGCTCCGGAGATTCACACTGCGGTCGGAGATTTGCTGGAAGTCCGCGGACTTTCATCACCAACCCTAACGTTGCTGGCCCCCGTTATCTTGCTCCGGATCTTGTTAAACCTCCGTATTGAGTGAGAAAATATGACAAATACTCACAGAATTCAGGATTGAACCTGAGTTATAAGGGCACATTCAGACTGACTCTTCCACTCTCATACCTTATCTATCTTGTTCTACCAGAAATCGAAGTCAGGCCTGCCCTCAAGGAGCTCTTTCTGTCACATAAGCTGCGGTCATTGAAAGGATTGATTTGATCATGTCTTCTACCAACGAGTCTACAGCGCTTGACAAGCAACCACTGCGCAAAGAGAAAGTCGACAGGTGCGATGATCCGATGTCAGGGCCTGGCGGTGTTGGCGAGCCAGACGCTGGAGGCCCTTCATCCGCCTTTTCATCCACCTTCCAAGAGGTCCTTTTCATCTTTGTCATCGGCCTATCCCAGCTGTTCTCTGTCGGCGGTCTCGGAAGTACAGCTTTCTCAGTACAACAAATCGGCCACTCGCTCAGCGCCACAAGCAATGGTCAGATGTCCTGGTTCCTGGCCGCATATTCACTGTGCGGCGGCGTCTTCGTCCTGGTGACCGGCCGGCTGGGCGATCACTTTGGCCACAAATATGTCTTTCTTTTCGGGTGGATGTGGATGGCCCTATGGTCACTCGTGAGCGGCTTCGCCAAAGGTGTGATCCTTTTCGACATTGCTCGCGGGATGACGGGCATCGGCAACGGGGCACTGGTCCCCAACTCCTTCGCCCTCCTCGCACGTGCCTTCCCCCCGCTGTCAGTCAAAAAGAACATCGCCTTTGCTTTCCTCGGATTCTGCGCACCGTCGGGTTACATATTTGGAGGCCTCGTCGGCGCTGCCTTCGCCGAGAAAGTCACCTGGCGATGGGGGTATTGGTTTTGGGCCATTAGCTGCCTCGTTCTGGGCGCAGTGACGTACTTCATCGTCCCCCACCGCGTGGGTTCGCCAATCCCTGGTCTCAATCTCAAGCGCTTTGACTACCTCGGATCTATCCTCGGCGTCTCGGGTCTCATCCTCTTCTCCTTCGCCTGGAACCAAGCCTCCGTGGTAGGCTGGCAAGAACCTTATGTCTACGCGCTTCTCATCGTCGGAATTCTCCTGATCGTCGCATTCGCCATCTCGCAGTCCCACGTCCCGGCCCCCGTCCTTCCCAACACCCTCTGGACCCGCAAGGGCTTCTCCCCCGTCGTGACAGCCATGTCATTCGGCTGGATGTCCTTCGGTATCTTCCTCTACTACACGACGATCTACATTCTCACCATCCACAAAGCGCAGCCACTCACAGCAGTCGCACAGATGGTCCCGCTCGTGATCGGGGGACTCTTCGCGACCGCCTCCGTCGGGCTCTTCATCACCAAAGTCCCCGCGCAGTACATCTTCGGCGTCTCCATGTTTTCCTTTCTGGTCGGCAACCTGCTCATGAGCTTTGTGTCGTACTCCCCCATCTACTGGGCCTTCATCTTCCCCGCGTGTTTGCTGGTCGTCGGCGGACCGGACCTCTCCTTCGCTTCGTCGGGCATCCTCATTTCCAACGCAGTCCTGCCGGAGGAGCAAGGCGTCGCCGGCTCGTTTATTTCGACAGTC